CACAGCAATGAGTAAGCGCTTCTTGGATATGGAAGATCAGCCTAGTGGTGGAGACCCGTTTCCAAGGTAAGTTTTGTATATTTATCTTTACGATTGGAATATGCGGCTACTGTCAATATCTAGGTACCGCCTACGCTTTGATGATGACACTCCTTCATCGTCTAGCGAGAAAAATGATGTAGCACGTGCTACAAGAGATCATACCAGTACTCCGTAAGTTCTGAACTCCACTAGTATTAGAAAAAAGATATGATTTCTGCAGGATCTCTGCGTTCTCAAAGTCTCGCCGAAGTGATTCGCACGCTTTTATTTCCGAGGTGCCAAAGTACCGTGGATCCGCAAACGAGAACTGGTCCCCCTTGAGCAAAAGATGCATGGATGATTCTGATGATGATTTGATAAACAGATCACCAAAAAGTCGAGGGTAAGTTACCTTCTTGCCTGATGCAAATTCTTCAAAGAGAGAAAAGAAAATTTTTTAGGACAATGTCGTGCCCGCCGTATCGACAACCTCTTCGTTCGCGGCTGCGCAATCGTCTTATCCCGAGACTCGACTTTTCGCTTGTAGACGACTCACCGGACTCACTTTCTTCGCCTGCAACAAATACTGATTCAACGGCGTCATCCATGTCATCAGCACGCTCAAAATCGAAATCTCAAACAAATACCCGAATGGTAAGCTTTCCAGTCGTATTTACTTTCCATGACGGTAACCAACTCAGTCAATTTCAAAATTTTGCTATAGCTTCCACATGATATAATTTGCCTTTTCTCAAAATCAGAATAAATCGTGAGCATGGTGAAAGAGGTTCTTAATTCATTGTTTTTACAGATTACTGGAATGACCAGTTCCGCTGAGGACAGTTCTTAACTACCATATTTTTGGCGTGCATCATCGTAACACATACTTTTATGGATACTCACTTTTCACTTGTGATTTTGCATTTCGTGTCTTATACCGGTAATCGATGCTTTTTTGCGAGTAACTTCTCTCCTACTCAATCTGCCTTTGAATTGTCGATTTATATCACTTGCTTGGAATATGTGAGGTGTAGAGTATATTGACGTGTCATATATATGTCTAATAATAGTAAGTTGATGTACTTGGACCTTAATATAAAACAAAATTATCCTCTCTATTCAGATATAATATTAATCGTTTTATTGTGAATTGTCTCCGATGACTCTATTCGACAATAACTGCGGAATGTTCTGCTTGAAAAGACATTGAATTCTATGTATGCGTTCATTTTCATGGTTTTGTTTTGAATAATTTTTCGTAATAAAAGTTGTAATAATCCTGTACGACAAGATTAGCGAGGTTGATACCTTCACCGACTAAGAATTTTTGCGAAGCTGTGTGATT